AAGCTAAAGACTATGTGAGGAGAAGACTAAATTTAAAATAACTAAATTGACTTTTTTTTTTTATATTACTAATCTAAACTGGAATTAGATTAATTTGAACCATTTTTTTTTTTACCCCCAACTCATAGATTGAAGTCCAAGTCAAACCCAATCTGATACTATTTCTCAATTTAAATCTACATTTGTAAATCCTTAAAAATAAATAATAATAATATATATTATCGCAAATAAAATCGCATTTTACTTATTAAATCAGATGCAATCTGTTAAGAATCTAATAAGATATTTGTTTAAATTTAATTTTAAACAAAAATTATTTTCTCATTTCTTTCAAATAATTGAATACTAGACTAGATTAAATAATTTACTAAAACTACAATACTTCAAATGGAAGTAATATATATTATTACAGTTAAAATTACATAATATATATTTAAACAGACAAGAATCTAATACAATATTACTCTATTTACCACTCACACTCCGGTAATTCCCTGCAAATAAAAGAAAACTACATTTAACCACTCACAGACTCCTACTAACTACCCTCTCACGCAAAGGAGGCGAGAATTGCTTCACTGACAACGAAAACTGCCCCAAGCACTTTTTTGAATTTTGAGTCCACGCAGTATGCAGAGCGTTGCGGCACGCGCTTAATGAAAAGACGAAAACACCCCCAGAAGACACATGGCCTGAAGAATAGCGAGTATAAAGCTTTTCATACTCCAAGCGAGTATGCTGGCGACCAACGTATTAATCATATAACCCCCAGTGATTTCACACACAGTCTCTCTCTCTCTCTCTCTCTCGCTCGCCATTTTTATCAAAAGTCTCGTGTTAAGTGTATGATCCAACAGTAAAATTTTGATGCCTTTTCTGCTTTGTTCATGAACCGCGACCAAGCTTACTGTACCAGTAAACCCTAGAATTTTGGGAGTGAAGGTTTCTCATTTTATAAATCGAAGTTGTGAGTTTGTGACTGGAGAGTGGAGTTTTGATGGCATCGTCGAAAGTGATGTCGACTACTTCGCCAACCAATCCTGATCTGCCACGTCAGCCTTCTCTGTGTTCTTCCCTGTCTACTCTCCTCGCCGATCTCCAGAACCAACAACAGGCGGTCAACATGGGGGATTCGTCGTCCCAGAACCTCGGCTCCATGAGCATGGATGATCTTTTGAAGAATATCTACGCGTCCCCGCCTCCAACAACCACCGAAACTCACGCTCCTTTTCCTGGCGCGTCCATCTCACGCGAGGGAAGTTTCTCTCTTCCCAAGGAGGTGGCCAACAAGTCGGTGGACGAGGTGTGGAAAGAGATTGTGGCGGGTAGCGATCAGAGGCAGGGACGTGCAGGGGAGGGATCGGCGGGTGGGGCCCATTCACAGGCACTGGAGGAGATGACCTTGGAGGACTTTTTGACCAAAGCTGGGGCTGTGAGGGAGGAGGATGTCAGAGGGGTTCAGGTGGGAATAGATGCAGGGGGCTTTCCTGTGGACGCGGGAATCAACGGCTCTCAGTATCAGGGGTTCGGAAATGGTGGCGGACCGGTGGTTGATCATCAGAGAGTTGTCGGCGCGGCCGGAGGAGTAGAGGCCGAGGTAAGAGGAGGGCAGTGGAAGAGCCTCCGTTGGATAGGCCACACAGCAGAAGCAGAGGCGAATGATCAAGAACAGGGAATCTGCCGCTCGCTCCAGAGAACGCAAGCAGGTTCGGTGTTCCTCCCTTCCTTTTTTGGATTTTTTTGGAACAATCTTTATTTAGAATCCATTGGATAAATAGATGCGGACAAAGTCGAATTCTTGACAGTAACGAAGAGTTGGATGAAGTTTCTTAGTAGCAAAAGAAATTATGATAGGCTTCATTTTTGCATGTGTTACAATTAGCCAATAAAGCTTAGTGATGTAAGAGGAAATGGAGAAACTGAATTATTCAACTTCCAACATTTTGTTTCCCGTTGCTCGGCTTTGTTTTCCAGTACTATTTTGTTTTCCTGCTAATGGCAGGGACCAGAGAAAAAGACACTTTGATTGGGTTAACTGCAGTTGCAATGGAAGTACTGGCATAAGTTTCTGTAAAATACGAAAAGCTGAATCAGTATTTTTGTTTTATGTTTCCTTGCATCATTGATCATTTGAAATTTAAGATCTTTCAGTTTTATGGAATCCATCAATATGTTTGGCTTTTTGTTTTCCATGTTGCTTTGTCCTTACAGGCTTACACAGTTGAACTGGAATCACTAGTGACACAATTGGAGGAAGAAAATGCGCGCCTGTTGAGGGAAGAGGTATGGTTCTTTATGATTGAGAATTAGATTTCTTCCGGGCAACAGAATGAAATAAATACTTCTATTTATTTATTTCCTGTATAAATTAGTTATTTTTATTGATCTGGTGGTGATGTTTAGTTGTTGTGCTTTGGCTGGTAGGAGATAGTAAAGCCAGATATATGAGATTCTTTACACATTGCCATTCTAGTAATTTAGTAAATTGAAATCAAAATGATAAATCAGATTTTCAAAAATATTGAAGTTCTGTTACAGCTGAAAGATAAATTGAACAAAGGGAATCTGAAGTTGAAGATTTATTTGCATAGGCTAGGACTATCACTTGGCAGTTCCCAATTCTGTAATAAACCTTACTGAGATAACTAACATAAAAGGAACAAGAGATCTTTTCGGTATTGGCACTTGCCCAGTTTCTCATGTAGCATTTCAGTCTCTCTAATGGATTGAATCAAATAAATGTACATATGACTTCCATATGATAATTGGATGTCTTGATCGTGCAAGTTTGAATTGTCTGTATAAAATTTTTAGTGAAACTATCCCTTTTGTATTTTTTTTTTGAAATAAAAGTAAGAAGTTGTATTAATTTAAACAAGTGCTAAGGGAGCACCCCATATACAAAATTTACAACTATTTCTTTTTGTATTTGATAGACAGTATTCTCAAAAAATGTATTCTGATATACAGCTTAAGTTACATTTGCTTGTAAATGCAATATGCTAATGATTTAATTGCTGTATGAGCTGAACAAAAGTTCCTTCCTTTCTTTCTCACATAGCATGTTCCAAGTCCTTTTATCATGTTAATATGTTGATGTCAAAGGCTTTCCTTCTGTTGATGATTGTATCAATTATAACATGTTTCATATTTATGCTTCCATGTGATTCTATATGTTTCTTTTGTTGCACTTCGATGGTCACTTGTTCAGATCTTTCTGATATATTGCTATGGTGAGTGCAGGATGAACAGAAAATGGAGAGGCTTAAGCAGGTATGTCTTGTTATTCTGTGTGCTGCTTTTCACCATGGAGCGTGTCAATTATGTGTTTTATATTTCATTTAGATTTTGTTATTAATTACGTTATGCATAAGCTCTACTAGATTCCTATTCCAGTGAATAAATATGGTTAAATCATACATTAGTGACTGACAGATTTTCCAGAAAAACAGAGATTTCTTAAGGATTTGAATGTGAGTGTTTGTCAATCAATGTGAGAGAGAGTATCCTTCAAATGCAAGTTAGTGTATCTGTGGATAAGAAGGATGTGAAAGAGGGGCTGTGAGGCATCACATAACTTTGTGTTTAAATTATTTTTTGCATGCGCTTAAATTTTTTATTTCAAAAAAAACTGTGCATGATGGATGTGATGGTGAGGGTGGTGAGGCATGGTCAAGCTTTATTTTTGAGGTCATAAAGCCGGGGAATGTATATGCTGATGCATGCATCTGTTGTCTAATTACTGATGTTTACAGTATGTTTAATGCGTACAGTAGTATGTATCTTCCACCAGTTTTAGTCGCAGTGGACCATCAACATTTTCATTGATCCATGCAAAAACCAATGGATTTTTCAATCTATCTTAGCTGAAAATTATTCTGTTAGCTTTGCAGGTGAAATAATTGGATGTGTGGTGGATCTGAAGGGGTTTCTTTGAAACTCATGAATTCCTTTTTTTTTCTCTATTCGTATTGAATAAAAGATTTGTGTGGCATTCAAACCGCATAAATTTCGGTGGCAACATGGTTTCCTTTCTGTTGCCAACCCTAGTGGGTAAGAATCATTTGGAAGACTAAGTTCAAGTTTTAAGTTGAGGAAAACAGATAATATTAGAGCTCAGCAAGAGATGCTCACAAAATATTTATTTTTGTTTTCAAGGCAAGAAACTTTATTGTCTTAGAATACATATACTAAAATAATAGGTCATAGTGCATAAAAATATTCGAATGCTGTCTAAATTGGATACTTGACATTGATCACCCACAAAACTATATCTATTTAGCAAAAGTCCACTCTCTCCACTAAGGAAATAGTGCACAATTTCTGTGCTTCTTATGCTTCAATTTTGACTTTGTTCACAATATTTGCTGTCATGTACTGTAGGACAGAGAGAGATTAAACACAATACTTTTTGAAAAATTAATAACCAATAAAGAATACAGATTTGGAATCTTAATAATTAAATCAATATCTCGATGTTTGTTTGATAATAATGAAAATAGTCTAAATGACAACTAGGCTTGGGTACTTTTTTACTGGCACCAAACATAGTCAAACCAATAAAACTTCAAGCCTCCTAGAAATAAGCTAAACACCCGTAAACAAACAAACACGATAATTACATGCATCACCATGTTTACTAAAATGTAATCTTGCCACTCTATCATGTCAGTTTTGCCTAAAGCCAGATGTGGTGTTTGGACTTCTTCCAGTATCAGGGAGAATGACCTGGTTATTCAACTTGATTGATGTTGTAGTAGTGGGAGAAACTAGCATGGGAAGAAAAAAAAAAATTGTTGTTGGTTTGCCATTTACTCAGCCTGGCTTTGGTCCGTTGCATTTGATATTTGAAACCAAAGCATTGCCATGTTCATATAACCAAATGACAAAGTCTTCTCTTTTCCTGATTTAGTAACTGGAAAAAAGATTTGCTCAAACCCTTGTGAAGGCCTGCTCTAGTGTGATTAATTGTTGTTGCCACTAAATGTGCCTATGTCCACTATCCTTGGCTGAGTGATATATGGTAAGAAAATCGATGTTTTGTGGCTCTAGATAAAATTTTGGCTGTCTATGGCTCCATGCATCCTCTGGAAACTGGTTGATACTGCCTTTTTAGTCTGCAAAAACTGTTTAGGTGGTTCTTGTGAGCCTGATAGAGTAGCATGTTAATGAGTAATCCACTTGTGTGGCATTTCCCTTGAATAAATATTGTCTCAAATTTGTAAGTGCATGCCCAGATCTAACTCCTGATTTGGCACAAAATGCAGCTAATGGAGAACCTCATTCCAGTTGAGGAGAAACGAAGGCCACCTCGTGCTCTTCGGCGAGTTCACTCCTTGCAGTGGTAGATGTGTCAGTTCAGATTTCCTGTTGATAATAAAGGAATGATATACTTAATCTGGATGGCATGCCATAGTATGTTTTATACTGAAGGCGAGGATGAAGTATGGATATGAAATATGAAATATTAGGAAGAGGAAAAGAAAGTATTTAATCATAGTTTTGAGTTAGTTCATTTGTAAAGAGAAAGTGACTGCAATTAGGTAGGTGTAAGTAAAATCTAATTAGAACCCAAACAAGGACTTGTGTATTTGATATATTAGGGTTTAGGGTATTGTAGAAAGAGCAACCTCCTTCCCTGTTCTTGTTTCCCTTCTAATGGATTCCACTAGAAGTGAAAGGAGAGAGGTTGACACAAATCTGAGACCTGAGCTGATCTTTTACTAATTTTACAATAAAAATGTTTATGTTGTTGAAATTGTGTGTTGACATTATTTATAGAGCTTTGCAGAGATCTCCGATGAATCCATCACCAGATTCTTACCAAATATCTACACAGGCTGTCCATTAATGACTTGTACTAGTGGGTTGGTAATGGTCATTAAGTTTTTTATTTGATTAATGAGATTACGTCTATGCCCAAGTTTCTTCCTGAAATTACAAATTATCCTTTTTTAATATATATATATATATATATATATACACACACACACACACACACACACGTATATAACATTGACCTGTAAGTCAGTTTTTGGATTTTATTTTTAGTTAAAGGGTAAGATTGTTGTAGGAATTTATTTATTTTTATATCTTTTACACTTGTGTGCAAAAATTAAAGATTCCAGATATAGCTTAGTTCTCGACTAAAAGAAGTAATAAGATATATTCAACTTATGGGGGGGGTATTCAATTATTCTTTGCCTTTTTGGTATAAATTATCATAAGTATTATATTGCTAATTGAAGCTATAGTTTGAAATTGAAAAATAAACATTTTTAATATGCAAAATAAATTTTACTATGTGCTAGGTTGATTGACCTTAAACTTTTTTCTGTTCTTTTACTTATTTGTAATTGTGAATATAAACTCAGAAAAAATGTTGAAAATAAATAGTTAAAGAACTTTGATTCTAACCCTTGTTTGATTTCAACTTCAAATTTTACTATAAAATTTAAAATATTTTCATGTTTTATTATTATCATTACTACTTTCAAATAATATAATATAAAAGAGATAAAAAAAATATATTAATCACTGTTTAAATGATTATTAATATATATCTTTTTATAAAAAAACTAT